TTTGCAGGAAGGTGGGTGGGAGGAGGTGTATTCTAGGTAGCTGTGGGAGTTGGTGGGCTTGAAATGGATATCAGTTTCCAGGTAGTTAGAAACAGAGTGTTCCAGGAAGGAGAGAGAGGTAGCCATTTTCCTATGTGTTAGGTATGACTCCAACCACCGGAGCGTTTGCGCCCGATACCCATTGATTCCAGTTTTGCTAGTGCTTCTTGATGCCACACTCAGTCGAATGCAGCCTTGATACCAAGGGTTGTCACTCTCACCTCGCCTCTGGAATTCAGCTCTTTTGTCCATGTTTGAACCAAGGCTGTAAGGAGGCCAAGAGCTGAGTGGCCCTGGCGGAACCCAAACTGGGCATCACTGAGCAGGTTATTGCAGAGCAGGTCGTGCTTGATAGCACTGTTGATGACTCCTTCCTTCACTTTACTGGTGTTTGAGAGTAAACTGATCGGGCGGTAATTGGCTGGGTTGGATTTGTCCTGCTTTTTATGTACAGGACACAATTGGGCAATTGTCCACATTGTCAAGTAGATACCAGTGTTACAACTGGAACAGCTTGGCTAAGGGGAACGGCAAGTTCTGGAGCACAAGTCTTAAGTACTGTTGCCGGAATGTTGTCAGGGCCGGTAGCCTTTGCAGTATAAAGTCTCTCCAACCGTTTCCTGATATCACGTGGAGTGAATCAAATTGGCTGAAGACTGGTATCTGTAACGTTGGGGACCACTGGAGGAGGCAGAGGTGGATCATCCAATCAGCACTTTTGGCTGAAGATTGCTGCGAATGCTTCAGCCTTATCTTTTGCACTGATGTCCTGGGCTCTTCCACCATTGAGGACAGGGACATTGTGGAGACTCCTCCTCCAGTGAGTTGTTTAATTGTCCACCACCATTCATGACTGGATGTGGCAGGACTGTAGAGCTTAGATCTGATCCGTTGGTTGTGGGATCACTTAGCTCTGTCTATCACTTGCTGCTTTCACTGTTTGGCGTACACGTAGTCTTGGTTGGTGGCTTCACCAGGTTGATACCTCATCTTCAGGTATGCCTGGTGCTGCTTCTGGCATGCCCACCTGCACTCTTCATTGAACCAGGGTTGATCCCCTGGCTTGATGGTAATGGTTGAGTGGGGGATATGCTGGGCCATGAGGTTACAGATTGTGTTGGAGTACAAATCTGCTGCTGTTGATGGCCCACAGCGCCTCATGGATGCCCAGTCTTGAGTTGCTAGATCTGTGCAACATCAGTCCCATTTAGTACTGTGATAGTGCCACACAACACAATGGAGGTTATTCTCAATGTGAAGGTGGGAATTCATCTCCACAAGGACTGTGTGATGGTCACTTTTACTGATACTGTCATGGACAGATGCAACTGCAGCTGGCAGATTAGTAAGGATGAGGTCAAGTATGTTTTCCCTATTGTTAGTTCCCTCACCACCTGCCGCAGACCCAGTCTAGCAGCTATGTCGTTTAGGACCCGACCAGCTTGATCAGTAGTACTGCTGCCGAGCCACTCTTGGTGGTGGGCATTGAAAGCCCCAACCAAGGGTGCATTTTGTGCCCTTGCCATCCTTGGTGCTTCCTCTGAGTGTTGCTCAACATTGAGGAGTACTGATTGATCAGCTGAAGGAGGATGGTATGTGGTAATCAGCAAGGAGTTTCCTTGCCCATGTTTAACTTGAAGGCATGAGACTTCATGCGGTCCGGAGTCAGTGTTGAGGACTCCTAGAGCAACATCCTCCCGAATGTATACCACTGTGCCGCCCCCTGTGCTGGATCTGTCCTGCTGGTGAGACAGGACATTATCCAAGGATAGTGATGGTGGTGTCTGGGACATTGTTTGTAAGGTATGATTCTGTGAGTATGACTATGTCAGGCTGTTGCTTGAGTAGTCTGTGAGACAGCTCTCCCAATTTTGGCACTAACCCCTAGATGTTAGCGAGGTGGACTTTGCATGGTCGACAGGGCTGTTTCTGCCATTATCTTTTCCAGTGCCTAGGTCGATGCCAGGTGATCCATCCAGTTTCTTTTCTTTGAGTCTTTGTAGTGACTGGTACAACTGAGTGGCTTGCTAGGCCATTTCAGAGGGCAGTTGAGAGGCGACCACATTGCTGTGGGTCTGGAGTTACATGTAGGCCAGACCAGGTGAGGGTGGCAGATTTCCTTCGGTGAACCAGATGGGTTTTTCCGATAATCGGCAATGATTTCATGGTGATGAGTAGATTCTTAATTACAGACTTCTTTTTTAATTCCAATTCCACCATCTGCCGTGGTGGGCTTTGAACGCAGATTCCCAGAACATCAGCTGGGTTTCTGGATTTATAGTCTAGTGATAATGTCACATCGCCTACCCCTTTACAATGACCATCCCTTGTTTCTAAGTTCTAACCATCTGGCCTCATTTGATGACCCCTTGAGAATATACTCTCTAAGCATTATTGTAATGTCCTCCCTTATCAAAAGGGCAATCCCCCCCCTCCTCTTTTACTTGTATTTCTGTCACGCCTGTAGCTTCTGTATCCTGGAACATTGAGCTGCCAGTCCTACCTTTCTCTTGGCTATGTTTCTGTTATGGCTGTAATATCCCAGTCCCCAGAGCCCGTCCGTGCTCTGAGCTCATCTGCCTTACTTGTCATGCCTCATGCATTGAAATAAATGCACTTTAAACCAGAAGTCTTTTCACTCCCTTTACTGTGCCCCTGGGTAGCCTGAATAGTAAACTTGCTGTCAATGGCTAATGTATTTTCCCCTGACTTGATGGCTCTCTTATTCAGAATCCAACCCTGTGCCAAACTAGTTTGGGTGCTGTTGCTGTCAGTTCACACTTAATATAGTTAAGTATCGCAGTTCAACTTCTGTGGGAATGCTGATAATCTAGAGGATTTATCTTTGTCAAATACGATGACTACAAACAGCACTTATGTTGACATTTTCTACCCAACAACATTTTCTGGTAATGGCAAAATAAATTAAGTATACTATTAAAAGTGGAAAGAGCATAGGAACAACCCCAGAACTGAAACCAAATGTCACACACAAGCTAGAACTGTCCATACAAGCAAGTGTCTCCTGTAAGGGTCATTATTCCAACACCTCTAAGGAGACATGTGTTAAACCAACTGGGCAACTTTTCATTGTGGCATTGTAAGAATGAAAGAGATAACCAGAAGCTGTTTTTAGTGGCCAAGGATTGACTTTGAAATTGAGGACAAAAAATATGTGGAGCTTGCACAAGAGTTCACAACCTACCTCCATTCGAGCATTACATCCATGGAATAGTTGGAAAGGCCATGGCAAAGAATCTGCATTGACTACAGTGGATCTTTATGAAGGGTGAATGCTTTTCATAGTGTTTGACACACACACTAAATGCCCTGAAATTACCATCATGAAGATGACATCTTCAGACAAAATCATTGAAAGATAGTGAGGTTTGGTTGTCCAGAACAACTTGTTAGTGATAATAGTCCACAGTTTATATCAAAGAGTTTAAGAACTATCTAAAGCCGAATGGAATTCAAGATATCTGATCAGCCTCTGATCAGCCAGTCACAAATATTTTGGCAGAAAAGTTTGCACAGTGAATAAAACATTCCTCAATTGTAACTCGAGAGCAAGGATCATTACCCAAAAGGTAGAGACAATCTTTGTTAACATAGCAGAACACAACCCACTCAATGACTAAAGGTTTTCGGCATTGGTGGCACAGTAATTATCAGTGCTGCCTCACAGCGCCAGGGACTCTGGTTCAATTCCAGCGTTGGGTGACTGTCTATGTGGAGTATGCATTTCCCCCTGTGGCTTTTTGTTTGGTGCTCTAATTTCCTCCCTAGGTCTAACTATGTGCAAGTTAGTTGGATTGGCCATGGTAAATTGTGTCGTAGTGTTCATGATGTGTAGGCTAGAGGTGGGTTAGGTATCGTAAATGTGGGGATAGGACTGGGGGCTGGGTTTGGGTGAGATCCTCTTCACAGGATCAGTGCAGACTTGATGAGCTGAATGACCTCTTTCCACGTTGTAGAGATTCTGTGATTCATTGACTGAAGGATCTCTAGCATTGCTCATGATAAAACAACGGATTTGTTGACACTACCCATGATAAGAGACTATGTGGACAGGAAGTGATAGAAGCAGGTTTTCTACTAGGAGAACAGGCCAAATGCTGCATTTTCCACCAGATTCAGGAAGAGTTGGTGAGGAATTACACCACTGTCCAGAAATGCATACCAGCCATGACTGTAGCACAGACTGGACCGGTCTCGTCCACTATACAGATGAAGATGACGTGGTACGGCAAAGACGTGCTGATCAACTCAAAGCTCCTGCAGTTTAACACTTAAGTCTCCCAGTCCTTCTTGGAGTATAAAGATAACCTGAGGTTAGGGTGTTGGCTGACTGGTGAGCAAATCGCAATCCTGGGATATTTAACTTGTATTCTCAGTTCAGTATTCTGTGAAAACCACAATCCTTAATCATTTTGTATTTGGCCTGAAGAAACATAGAAAATAGGAACTGGAGTAGCCCATTTGGCCCTTTGAGTGTGCTCTGCCATTCAGTATGGTCATCACTGAGTGCCCTGTTCCCGCTTTTTCCACATTGCTTTCATCTCTTTAGCCTAAGAACTATATCAATGTTATGCTTCAAAACATTCAATGTTTAAATGAGCATCGCATGTTTGTCTTTCAAGGAGGCATTTATTTAAGGTATTAGTAAAGAACCAGAAGGGCCACGAGAATAATTTATTTTGTGCAGTAAGTTATGATCTGAAATGCAAAGCCTGCAAAGGGTATTGATATGGATTCTATAATTTTCAACAGGAAATTTGATAAATGCATTAAAAATTTAGTAGGATAGAACTAACTGATCAGCTGCTTCAGAGAGTACAATGGGGGAAGTAACCCTTGGGTCGATGCTGAGTCGCTTCTCATTCTGTTTGTGGAGAATAAACTCAAAACTAAATAATATGTAGTCATGGGTGAAATTTAAACTTTGCTGTGTGTTTCAGACTTTGAAAAATGAGTCAAGATGGTATTTCGCCACATGTTAGTGGCTCTGTTCTGTTTGATTCACTTGGTTTATCACCGGAGAAAAGATTGGGCAAAATACGCAGAAGCACTGTCGGAATGCTGGCCTTGCAAGAGACAATAAAGGAAAAACAGGTATTTTTTAATTAGTACTAGACATACATAACCTATGGCAGGTTTTTAAAGTTTTTTATTGCAGATATAAAGAATCTTTATGTACATAACATGGATACTGAAGAAGTTTTGTACAGTCTTTACATATCAAGAAAAACAAACATTGGAACCTGACTTTCCCTGCAGTTGCAAAAACCAAAGGCACTTTCTTATGCAGGATACTAGTTACAAACATTTGAGGTAATGAGAGGGTCTGATAACTAAATGGGCCACCGTTGTAATTTGGCAGAAAGACCTTTTTAAATGATGGTCTTCTGTCACTGTGCCTTGGCAGCAGCTGCCCCAAGTTTTATTGCATCCCTTAGCGTTATAATTCTGGACCTTTTGAATGTGCCAGTCTGCAACACTTGGTCATGGGTGACTTTTTGCTTTGGAAGATCTAGTTTCAAGCAGATCATGAGCGCCTTTCACCGAGGTAGATGGTCTTCCAAACGTCGTTGATATTTATTTGTATCGATGTATGCTCCAGGAAGCAGACCATAGGGAAAAGCATCCTGAGGTGTAGAGCTGCTTGGGACAAGTGTCAACAAAATCCCCTCGTAAATCATAGAATGCCTGTAGATTGTATGTTCAAAATGGCCTCTCTGACCCACCCACCCAGACCCACCTCCACCTTATCCCTATTACCCTGTATTTACCCTAGCTAAACCACCCAGTCTGCACATTCCTGGACACTACAGAGCAATTCGGTATGTCCAATCCGTCTAACTTGCACATCTTTGGACTGTGGAACGAAACCCGAGCACCCAGTAGAAACCCAGACAGACACAAGGAGAGCATACAAATTCCACGCAGACTGGAATTGAACCCTGGTCCCTGATGCTGTGAGACAGCAATGCTAGCCACTGTGCCACTGTACTGCCTTGCATCTCACTCCTGCAACATGCCTACGCAAATAAGGTCTGAAGGAGATGTGTGACAGTGTCTTTTCCCTTGCAGCCACTGCAAGGATGGAGGGCGGCGGCACAGAGTCCGGGCCTACATGAAGGATCTCACAGGTTGTGCCGTTTTCACCACCAGCCAAGCTACATTTTTGTGTTAGAAAGTTCTGACAATGATGCATTCTGTCAATTAAAAAGATATTCTGTTCTATGTTCTATTCTTTTCTGGTCTGGTCTGGTCTGGTCGAATGCCTTGGACAATCTGTGCGGGGAACCAACCGACAGGATTAACCCTCTCCTTTTCCTGCAGGTCTTAAGGACACTGTGTTAACAACTGCCTGATGGACATATGGTCAGAATTTTTCCATAATGGACAGGTGATATGGAACGGTCCATCTTTTTGGAGTGTTCCACGGCAACGAAGCCAGGCCTATCCTCTAACACTGGGACAGGTAGAACCTCAGCACATAGAGATACTGAGACAACAAGGTGCAGGGCTGGATGAACACAGCAGGCCAAGCAGCA